AAATTCAACAGATTAAAGACGAGCAGTGCACAAGCTGTTATGTATAAGCAGTCTTTATAATGAGTTGTATAAGTCGCAGCCTACCTCACTCAGGTGACAGTTCTTCCAGCATCCTTCATCTGCCCAACTCCACCTTTATTCTTGCCATATTTTAATCTCCTATTTAGTAACCCAAAAGGGTATATTATAGCTTGGGTTGAGTTTCATCCACAAGCTCTCCATAAGCTGACAGAATGCCAAATCTTTTTAACTTATCATGTATATATTTGATAATGCTTTTAATAGCACCCATTGTTCAAGCTTTTATTTGTTCTACTTTTAGTAAGAGAAGGGAAATTACCTAATGGAAAACAAGCAAAAAATGATTTCAGCAAATGGAAGATTTACACCATTTGAGAAGCAAGGTATTTGTTCCAATCCCTTTCTGTCATAAACTGACTGTACACAAATTGATTCCTTATTAAAGGAAAGGTCAGCAGTGTGAAAGACAATGTAAACTTGTTACATAGGCAGAGATGTATTTTCATGTCAATTCATTGATAAAACAAGCTGCAGACAGAGGGAAAAACTTCCTCAAAACTCAAAATTGATTACAATTGCAAGTAATATTCACACGGATAATAAACTTTTGATGATGATGAATATTTTTCAAGTTCTAAATTAAAATGAATTTTAATGTTCAAAAACATCTAAGTGGTGTAATGGTCAGGAGACTGCAAAAATGAAAAAGGTGTCATGAAAAGGCTGAAATTCTTGAAACAAAATTTTCATTCATTTTTTTATTATCATTTCTATTTTAAAAAGTGGTTTTGTTTTATTAAGTAATATTTGAAAAGTATTTTGTCAGCCAAATCAAAATCAGTGATGTAACCAACATCCATGCAGCGGTTTTGTTGTCATTTGACATAAACAGGAAATGATATCACAGTGAGGACCTCTATAGTCGGTAGACCCTGATGTCTTTTTTTTTTTAAATGAAAATGCAAGGTTATGTGAAGTCAAACAGAATAACCTGAATGAAACTTCCATATTCATGACTAAAAAAAGTATGATGATTGTAAATAAAACACTAAACATAACTAACAATAACTAACATAATATAATGACTGAATAATTAAGAGGGTTCAGGCCCCTCAAACCCCCAATAATTCACACCCCAGAATAAGTCAGTTTCTGCAAGGGCAGCATTGCATCCCTCTCTTATGTGTGTGTGTGTGTGTGTGTGTGTGTGTGAGAGTTATGTCAAACTGAAAGATCGGTGGTGTTTAAGGCGACTGGGGAGACGCACGCGTGTATCTCCGCTACAGGTCGATCAATATCTGTCAAATTTAGAGCCCTGGCGGACCGGTGAGCCTCATGCAGGTTCCGTCAAATAATCACTGACACGAAAGAAAGCGAACGGAGCAAATTCACCAAAGCCACACACGCGTTTACAGTGACCTAAACACGTTATCAAATTAATAATAACAATAATGAAATGCGTCCCTGTAAACCACGATTTTGCTATCAGAATAAATGTAACTTGATCTGATAAAGAGCACAGATAAATTCTGGCGTTTCCAAAACATTAGGCTGCATGGCAGCTGATGCAAACGCTTCAGACAATGAGCACCACAAAACCAGGAGACAAAGCGCCTGCGTGCGCCTTCAAAACATACTAACGCATGGCTTTCCTCAAACAGAACAAAAAAGTAAAAGAATCTCCTTGCTCTTGAATAAACGAAACTACTGCATACACCAAATACCTCGAAAGGGCTTTTTAAATGTGCATTTGTCATGAGCAGACAGCGCTCAGTGTTGAACAGACGAACATCTGGAGGTACCAGCGCTTCCCATCAGAGAACAGCTGGACAGCTGGACCCTTCCAACATGCTTTCCTTATTGAGTTTTACTCTATTCTGATGCTTCTGTGTTGTTTAGCAGAGCGATAGTAACGCGCTAGTAGTAGTAGTAACGCAGCAGTTTGACGCAGAGACTGACGCACTGGATTTTCCATCAACTACAGTGGAGCCAACAAGGGGATTTCACTCTAAACCATCTCGTGATGTGACTGTGGACATTTTATACTTTACGCGCATATGGGATAGAAACGCATATAAATATGTGTTTAAATAAAATCCATAACGCAATAAAAACAAAACAGATCATCTCAAGCACTGGAAAGCAAGACTAGAGTGGTTTGGAAGGTGTGTAAATTAAGCTCAATGCCGACCTGTTCTGCAACCCAGAAAAAAAAAATCAAAGTTAGCTGATTAACCCCAAACACACAGAGCTTGAATGAATCGGTTCTCTATATTCAGTCCGAGGGCGGAGCGGCGGTGCGCTCAACGCATCCCAAATTGACAAGCCTTTATGGGCGCCAGTGAGAGAGAGCGCACGCACAACCTACCTTCATCTCTGCGTTAATTTCCCTCTTCACGGGGTGAGCTGGCTTTCTGCTCCTCTTGTTTTCCGGAGGTCTTCCCTCTTTCTCCATCTCAGCCATGTTTTCTTTAAATCTCTGTCAATATTTGGGGGTATAACCCCGCGGGCGCACGGCAGGGAACGTGGCGGGGCCGGTTCAGAGTTGCGGAGTGGCAGCGAATGGCAGGCGCGCGAGAAGCCCCAGTGAAGTTGATGCTGCTGCTGGTGCTGCTGCTGCTGTTGCGGGCTCACCGTGCCCGGTCGAGTCAGCCATCTTCTGCCTGCTGTTTCTCAGCGGTCTGAGCCTGAGCAGGATCGAGCCCTCTCCGAAAGCCAACCGAGAGGTTGAGAAAAAAGAGCGAGCCAGACAGGGGGAGGGGCCTCCACCGTAACTCTATACGGCCACGCTGATCCCGGGAAGGCTATTTCCTCCCCAATTTTCCACAGATCGGTTTTCACGCAGGACTCGGAGGTTGTCGCGCGATAGGAGTGAATAGGTGCCGTTGTCTGATGTGTTATCGTTCACACCGCGCGCGTTATCAGCACTCCGCAGGGGGTGCTTGATATTGTCATACGAGACTATTAATGAAAATAAAACAGTCAAGGGGTCCTAATAATTCCCTTTTAATTAAACATATTTGAATGGGTGGAATTATCATAATGGGTGTTAGTGTTTATGAGACAGATATCTGCAGGTAATTAAAACCCACTCTGAAGGTGTGTGTGTGTGAGTGAATGAGTGACAAAGACTATGTGTTACAAATAAATTAAAGAGATGTATGCCTATATGATATAAGTCATACTAAAATTTAATGAGTGTCCCACTAAAATTGTGTCCCAAAAAAGCTCTTAATTTAGATTGTCTAGGGTATTTTTTCAAACTCTCACTCTCACACAAAAACATTTCATAGATCTGTACTGCAGCATGAGATAAATGAACAAAAAGTTCTTAAATCAGACTTTAAAAAAAAACATTAAGAAAAATGCACTGTATAAAGTATGTTTTACAAGAAAATACTATGTTTTATCATTGTTACTTCTCATTTCTTTGTAATCATTTGTGAAATTAGCTAGCAATTTCTGAGTGACAATTGACAAAAAGTAAATCCCAGTAGATATAATATAAGGCTGCTCTCCGTGAATCAAACCTGAGGTTCTGTGAGGAAGATGGAGCCTAAAAGTCTGGACAGAAAGAGTTAATGCACTGTAAAGATGGAGATGAAAGTCACATAGACTGGTTTTTGTGCCTTGTTGTAAGAAAGAATAATTTGTATGTTTAACCCTCAATAAATTACTCTTTGTTTGCATCCTTCTCGTTTTCTCCATCTCCAGCCCACTGGTTAATTGGCTCTCAAGCATGGTACATGTAGGGTAGGATGGCACAAGAACTCCTCTGGATCAGACCAGAGGCCGTCGCCCTTGAGAGCGTATCGACGTCCCGTCCCAGATCACTAGCAGATGCGCGACGGCCTGAATGAGTGCATTGTTTAGCACACACAGCTCTGGCAGCCCCTGCCGAACATTAGTCCATGATAAACAGTTACATTCTAGCAGGGATACTGTTACCCCTCTTGATACTAGCAGCACAAATTTACTAGTTTGTCCCAAGGCATCAGTTTAACAGAGTGAACTGGGCTAATTCTTAATATGTTAACCTCATGCAAGCCCATAGTTGAGTTCAGTTGAAGTAAACTAGATAATCGTAAAAACTTTTTCAATATGAAATGTGTAATGAAAAACAGTGTCAACTCCTTTCTGCTTCAAACACAGTAACCCTGAAAAGTAACTTCTGAGTGGTAACATTGTGGCCATACAAGAGTGTCACCATCTGTGATAGGTTTGAACGAAAATGTGAATTTCCCAACAAAGGCTGCAGTGTCAAAATAAAAACATTGTCCATCAATTACACAATTCAAGTTGTGTAAAAAGTAACTTTTGACATCATTAAGGTTCTTGTGCTTAAGTGAAATTCCCTCCTGGCTTTTAAGAGTTGATACAGCTGAAGTCAACATTGTTATCCCATGGGATTCATTTGGCTGGCGTGATCTCAGTATGGGGATTATCACAAATCCAGAATAATCACACTACTACATGCAATGCAGAGCAGTGTTTCTCAACCGGTGGATCACAACCCAAAAAATGGGTTGCAGGTCTGTTCTAATAGGGTCGTGCACAACAGACTAGAAATAATGGTAAATGCAAATAATAGCATGCAACCAACCATATAATCACACGTTTTGGATGGCTTATCAACCTTAAAAGGGATGAGAAACCCCATGATTTTTATTTTTGTTATCAAAGGCTGTGAGTGTAATCAAAGTATTTAGCAATATTTTGGTGCAAATTTAAGTCACACAATCCAAATTTGGCAGATACCAACATGGGAATGTTGACTGTGACTGTGTCAAGAAAAAAAACTATTGGTGTTGAGTACAAACATATACTGTTCTAATCGAAGGAAAAAAGCAGAAATAAAATAAATGTATTTATGAAATTTAAAAGATACATTTTTTTCCACATTTCCTCTAGTTTAGTAGTTTTGATAAAGAGGGTTTTGGTGACGAAAGGGTTAATCGTGCGGTCTTTACGACGGGCCGTAAACTGATTCATAAAAGATGGCGACCGGTGCAGCTGTCAAAACGTGAGAGTTTAATGCTGTAGAACTGGACACTCAGAAACCAGCACGGACTATCGGTTTGGACCAGTGTACGTGCATTAACTAAGGGCCATCGCTTGATCAGCGGAGGAGACGCGAAGAAGTCTTCTGTGTAGAAGAGGATGCTTTCTTCCCTAAGGAGGTGACATTGAGGAGGACAGAGGCTGCCGGGTTTGACACTAAAAATAAGTGAAAGAGCTTGTCAGATCTCTGATGTGAACTTATCTGAAAGTACCAATGAACATTCATACATTTACGTAACCGGTCTATTCGTTTTATTTGATTTTAAAATGGCTTGGAGGTCACGGCTCTCTTACATTGGACGGAGGCATCTGGGTATTTTCTTCAACCCGTCTACCTCAAACTGGACTAAGGTGGTGTCTGATGCTGAGAAGATCGTAGGATATCCAACTTCATTCATGAGTTTACGCTGTTTACTCAGTGACGAGCTCAGCAATGTGGCCATGCATGTTTCTATAGCTCTTAGCCTTGTGTATCAAGTGCAGAGGAATATGGTTTGTAAACACAAGTAAGGCTCTAATATGCAATGACAAATAAGATTAGAGGATGGAATTTACATCTCTTGGGAAATGCCTGGTGGAAAAAGTGTGGTCATGAGAAAACATCAGCCTTTTCTGTTCTCATTGTAATCCCTGCTTGTTTATATTGTGTGTGTATTGTATCCTCTGAAGTGTGTGTGTGTGAGAATGCGTGTGTTAGTGTGTCTCCATTTCAAAAAGATACTTATGGGATTTCTACAAGAGGGAAGTATTACAAAAGGAATTAAAAGTAGATGTAAAACAGCTGGATGCCGAATCTGTCACTGGTTCATGAAAAATAAACATTCGTTTTACAATCGCAGGGGCAGATGAAGCTTTGAAAATGCAATATTCTCTCTGAAATGCCGTTGTGTGTGAACAGTCTCATCCGCCGTAACATCATCTATTGGTTTCACATACGCACCGCAACTTAATTCAGAAACTCACCTCGTATTATATTTAGATGGGACTCGGTACACCCGCAGAGTCTATGCAAAATACAGCTCTCCTTTGAAACACACAACAGCCGCCAACTGGGTGACAATCCTGCCTCTGCACAATAATTTCAGGAATTCAAAAAGTACAAAACTTTATTATTGTATTATGTATTATTATTATTATTACAAAACGACCATTTGAAAAGTGCACACAAGTGGGGTTCCAGTGCAGATTGCTTTCAGTTGTTTAATAACCAGACAATTTTAATTTTACTTTGGATGAATTGTATGCTTCTTTAAATTAAGACAACCGCTCTTTAATTAAATAGGCATATGACAGAAATTCTGTTGTCCATATCAAGCATGAGGTTTCAATTCACATATAAAAGCCAAACATTCTATATGTTCTTTAGTAACTGGCTTACTGTCTGTGATGTTTTTCCCATGATTTCCTCTTTATGCACTGAGGTTTACCATTATACCACAAACTAGATACTATGGGTGAACAGGAACTTTCAAACATACCACAATAGCTTGCTGTCTTGGTTACCTCCAGTCTTATTGAAGACAACTCTATAGAAAGACAAATGTTGCTTGCTTACACATAACACACTAATACGCTTCTAATATTCAAATCCGTTAAAGGATTTTTAGGCTGCATTAATTAGGTCAACCGGAACCGGGAACACTTCCCATAACACCCGATGTACTTGCTACATCGTTAGAAGAATGGCATCTACGCTAATATTAAGGAAGCTGGTGGGAACGAAACACCCTCTGCTCAACACCGCCAGGTACTACATTTATGTCTTTCTTCTGGCCACCAGGCAGCTATCGTTAGGTATGATTCTTGTAGAAATTCCTTCTTTTGAGTCGGATTTTTGAATGAGTCTGACGAACTGGTTCACAAATACAGTCTGAACGATTCGATCACGAATCAGCCACGAATCAATCGGTTCTTGAGTCCTTTTACTCAATAAACCGCGAACCGATGAGTAGAGCTAATTTGGAGTGAACGAGGATTTGACCGATTGGGTGAAACTTTAGTTACTTTAAAAGCCGATTATTACAAATACATGTTACAAATTTCGACAGTTTTATCAGCACCCATATTAAACAGAGTTGTAATAAATAGCATTTCATTGCAACGTGCAATAATAAAAAATATTTGAGCACCAAATCAGCATATCAGAATGATTTCTGAAGGATCATGTGACACTGAAGACTGGAGTAATGATGCTGAAAATTCAACTTTGATCACAGCAATAAATTACATTTTAACAGATATTCAAATAGAAAACAGTTGTTTTAAACTCCATTAAAATAATATTTTAATAATATCTGACAATACTACTATTTAATTGTATTTTTAACCATTTTAACCAAATAAATGCAGCCTTGGTGAGCAGAAGAGAAATGATGAACTGCCTTTAACTGAAAAATTAGTGTTTACTATTGTCATTTTGCATTATTGACACACTATTTTCCTAATTAATGCTGTTCAGTTGCTTTGACACAATCTGTATTGTTAAAAGTGCTATATAAATAAAGGTGACTTGACTTGACTTGACTTGTGAAGTTTTGGTTTGATTAAATTATTTTATGGAGCACAACAGACCTCCTAATTACGTGATGATTACAGCTTTAATTTGTTAAGTAATCATAAGTGACAACAATTGAAAGAATGACAAAGATTAGATCGAAAAGACAAATGAAGCAGTGAGCAACCACTGTACTGCAGCAAATAAAGAACGACAGGTGAATTGAATGTGGATACCCAAAAAGCAGAGCTGCAGGAATCATGTAGTAGGTGGTTGATTATTTAGGCGTTGGTATAATTTTATTGAGTGCCATTAGAAAGACTGGGTGGAGGATTTGTAGATGCAGTAAACATCCATTTTTTTAACCTGTGGAGGTGTTTGTTGACAAATGAGCAGAACTTTATGCTAAACATGAAGTTTTGAACAGAATAAGGTAGAGGAGCGGCTGGCATATCAGAGATGTAATACTACTCAAGAAACAATTTCTAAGGCTGGTTTGGTTCCTGGTTTATGCACCAGATAGCCTAGTCTGATATCAAAAACCCAGAGACAGCATGAAGTGGGTGTGGAATGATCTGGCAATTCTCTGGAAGTCCTAACAGAAGGAGGAGAGTTTCATCGATCCTGAAATGAAAAGTTGTTAGAAGTGCCATTATATCTATGATGATGAGAGCAGGGTGCGAACTACGGGGGAGCTAGGGGGAGCTCGGCTCCCCTTAATAAGACATGGGCTCCCCTGAAAACGTGATTTGTGAAATTTAATAGAAAACAGTTGTTTTAAACTCCATTAAAATAATATTTTAATAATATCTGACAATACTACTATTTAATTGTATTTTTAACCATTTTAACCAAATAAATGCAGCCTTGGTGAGCAAGAGACTTCTTTAAAAAAAAAACAAAAAAAAAAACACCCCAAACTTTTAATCTGTATTTTGGATTGAGTCTTTGTCAGTTTTATCAACATGCAAATTAAACTTTTTCAGGTAAGATATTCATTTTAATGCGCCTTACTGTAAATGCACATAACAAAAAACTGCAATAAACAGAAATGGGACACAAAAAATTATGATTAACTTAAATGGAAAGTTTTTAGAGCACGTAAATACGCCACACCAGTGTCAGCGACCATGTAATGACATAAAATAATTTTTTTGTTAGAATGAACCAGTTCAAGGAAATAAATTGGACTTCCCATAACCAACATGTACATCTAGCATTCATGGGGCCAATTTACGAACACTTTATATGGATAAGAGTTAGTTCATGAATATTGATGAGGTCACACTGATGTTGCTTGGTAACCTCCTTAGAATGGTCTAGCATGTGACCCAATTAATGTTAATGAAACCAAGCCTTCAGCATAATAGCATTGCTTAACTAACTTCCCAACTAGAGCCAATATACTATCATCTGCACTTCAGCCAATCAGTTCTAACAAAAACTGATTAATATTCACGATTCATGTTTAATATGGACAAACAACTACATATAGTGGTTAAAGGTGCAGGTCATTAACATAAGTGGCTCTCAGAGGTAAATTAAAAGATTTTATAGGCTTCATTAGTTTATACCCTGCAGGAACCTCTGGGAAATCTGCAGTTCCGACCTGTTCAGTTTGTTAATTGAGAAGCAATACAAGTCAAGTCATTTCTATAAATCAACAGGAGGGTTGATGGTTTCTTGTAGTCTCTCATTATAGTCCTACATGTAAAGCTGTTTTAATGGAGCAAAAGTGTATTTTCTGCAAGTCGGAACATCTTGGTGACACCCCCATGCACCTTCTTTTTTAAGTACTGTAGGTTAATGAATAGTGAAAGAATGAAATTGAAATGACAGTTCTTGTACAAATTGTATTTTTCAGGCTAGCCCAGTTAAAGCACGTTCATTGAGCTTGCAAGGGTTAATAAATAGGACTTTTGTGATCTCCTAGGTCTACAGGTGAACAAAGTCACAGGCTCAGTTCCGGTTATGGGGGTGATTTAGAAATGGGAGAGTTATTGAATTCACTTGAGTACAGCACTTAACCCCTAGGCTACTCCAAGGAGATTGACCCTGGAAGCAGAGTACTAAGAAGTCACTCAAGTAGCCAAATTAAATGGCCAAATTAAAGCTGTCTCCCCCCAGTGGCTGCCATTTGCAGTTCCAGTCTGATTTTGTGCAACTTTGAGACAGACAGCCCACTCTGTGATACTGTGGATCAAGTTTGTTTCTAATAAAATAAAAACAAGAAAATCCCTTGTAAAACTGAGCATGCTGAAAGTTATAGTTTGCCAAAAAATGAAAATTCTGTCATCATTTACTCACACTTATATCATACCTGTATGACTTCATTTCTTCTGTGGAACACAAAATAAGAAATTTTGAAGTTGGTAACCAAACAGTTTTGTTGACCGTTGGCTTCCATTGTATGGACAAAAACACATAAACATCTTGTTTTATGTTCCACAGAAAAAATATGGTCATACAGGTTTGGAAAGACATGAGGGTGTAATGGTGGAATTTTGATTTCTGGGTGAACTAACCCTTGAACTTTTTTTCCACCTGAGTGCTGTCCAACTGAATGACATACAGAAAGTTTGAGGAAATAAAGACTGAGTGTTTGTGTGCGTTTGGTTTTAGAGGGAGAGAGAGAGAGTTCGGGAACCCAATCTGGCCCATCCAGACGACAGTGCTGGAAACAGTAGCCCAAGGGTGTAATAACCTATACACCTAAATCTGATATGACAGTCCATTTGGGAGGGGACCCTGTCTTCTCCCCTCAGCGTCAGTGCAGATTCAGCCGTCTCCTAAGATCCTAAGACGCGCCAAAGATATTTATACGCACAATTGCAGGCTGGCGAGTCGGGCAGTGCCAGCTAACGTTTCGCGTCGCCTTTCTGTTCATTCTTAAAAAAAAAACACAGACCTCAGCGAAGTTCAGAGCAGTTTGGGGTTGCGGTACGAGCTTGCGGAGATGTCTTTGACACGTCAGGGGAAGACCTTCACAGGTCCACTCCACACTCATACAAAAGCCCTGTGACGGTCTCACTGAGGTCCTTTATGGCAGGGGTTTTAAATTTTTAATATATCACACGGCCCCTAAATACGAGGGACCCCCATCCTAAATTTAAAAGGCATCTATATAATTTCTTGTATAAAGACCCAAATTATTCTGTGAAAAATGTAATATTATATATTATAAATATATATTATATAATTATATATAGTGTGTATATATATATA